GTCTACATAGAGAATTCCAGGCCAGACAGGGTTACATAGTGAGACTCTGTCTCAAAACAAACAACAACAACAAACAAAACTGCTACTGAACACTGAAAAGTATAAACATGTCAAAGCACAGCTGAAGTGGTTTATTTTTCTGGTGCTAGGAGTGGACAGTCTCCACATGCCAGGCAAGCCAAGTTCTGCCACTGAGCTGCGCCCATAGCCTCAGCTTACGTGGTTTTAGATCCACTGTAGTTTAAAGAACACAGGAAATGATCGTGACTGGAAAACAGAATGAGAGTCCTCTGTCCCCAGGCAGAGGAGGGTGTGGACAAGATTGTCTCAGGTTTTACCCACGCTTGAAGGACCCTGCTCAGAGATAAGGACTGGTAAGGACTGAAGGGTGTCCCCCGCACTTAGCTGACTGTGCAAGTATTTTGTCAGAAATCAGTGCTGGAATTTCACTAAAAGAATAACAAAATGTGCACAAGACCTCACCACAACAGGATCCCTTGAAGCTGTTCATGATACTGGTAAGTACAAGATGGTCTATGAATGCCTTGCGACTTCAGACAGGATGAGATATCTGTGACACGCGCATCCCACGGAGTCAGCAAAGTGTTTCTTGTCACAGAAGGATGTTTGAATTATTGGGGGGGCAGGTTGAGCTAAGAGACAGAATGTAAAATAATATAAACTAAGGGGGGGGCGTGGTTCACACCTGTAATCCCAGCACTCTGGAGGCTGAGGCAGGAGGATTGCTATGAGTTTGGGGCCAGCCTGAGCTACTGTTCTGGTTTGCTTTCTGTTGCTGTGATAGACTCCATGACCAAAAGCCACATGGGGAAGAAAGAGTTTGTTTCATCTTACAACTCTTAAGTCACGGTCTATCACATGGAGGGAACTCAGGGCAGGAACTGAAGCAGAGGCCACGGAGGAACACCGCTTACTGGCTTGGTTTCCCCTGGCTGCTCTGCTACCTTTCATATACAGCACAGGCTCACCTTCCTAAGGCTGCCACCTCTCACCTGGACCTGGTCTACATCAATTAGAAATTAAGAAAATACAGGCCGGATGTGGTGGCGCACGCCTTTAATCCCGGCACTCGGGAGGCAGAAGCAGGTGGATCTCTGTGAGTTCAATGCCAGCCTGGGCTACATGGTGAGTTCCAGGCTAGCTGGGGCCACAGGGAGAGACCCCATCTCAAAAAGACAAAAAAGAAAAAGAAAATCAAGCAAATGCCCGGCAGACATTCGCACAGGTAGTTTTGATGGAGATGATTCCTCAGTTGAGTCTCTCTCCAACGCGACTCTAGTTTACGTCAAGCTAACTAGTACTACTCAGCGAAGCTACAAAAACTGTCTCAAAAGACAAACAACTCCCCCAAAATATCCACGGTATTATAGTCTTATTTTGGACACATGAAAGAACACAGGAATGTGGCTATCAAAACCCTGTGATCATCTCTGAGTTTAGGGTTACGGGTAATTTTCCCCTTGTTCTGACTTCTCAGTGTAATAACATGAGTCACTCATAGAACTAAACACAAAACTTTTTTTTTTTTTTGGTCTTTTTTTGAGACAGGGTTTCCCTGTAGATACACAAAAACTTTTTTAATGCAATCCCCTTCCCCCTCCCCCGCCCCCTCTCCCTCCTCATCCTCCTTTTTCAGACAGGATCTCAGGTAGCCCGGACTGGCCTCCAACTTGCTATATAGCCAAGTATGACCTTAATCTCTTGATTCTCCACCTCCTAAGTGCTGAGATCCCACACCTGGCTTAAGTTGATCTTAAATGCCCTAGAATTTCTTACTTTTTTTTTTTTTTCTTTTTTGGTCTTTTTGAAACAGGGTCTCCCTGTAGCCCCAGTTGGCCTGGACGAGGCTGGCCTTGAACTCACAGAGATCCGCCTGCATCTGCTTTGAGACAGGGACTCCCTGTAGCTCCAACTGTCCTGGAACTCACTATGTAGACCAGGCTAGCATTGAACTCACAGAGATCCACCTGCCTCTGCCTCCCAAGTTCTGGGACTACACGTGTGCACCACTACACCCAGCTAGAAATTCTTTTAATATACTGAAAACTCTTTATTTAAACTTTATTCCCTTAAACTCCCACAATATAGTTCAGACAGTTAATAAACACATTTGTAAGTTAGGCACACTGAAACTGACCAATGTCCCTGAAACTTGCTAGGGACAAATCTGTTCCCTTGCTACCTAAGTCAGAAAACACAGTTTAAGCAGCAGCTGGTTTGCTTGGTGCCGCTGTACTTTGAGGGGTTAGTACTGGCCCTCTCTGAAGTCTTGGTCTTGTTCAAATGGGGTGGGCTAACTGGTTCCCCCAGAAGGATATCCTGAAATCCTATCCCAAGTCTGGTGGTCTGGATCTAAAATGTCGTCTCCGGCTGACGTGCTGAAGTCTTGGTCCCCTAAGCACCTGTTCAGACGTGGGGCTTCAGGAAGGGACTGGATTGTGAGGATCACTCCACTGAAGGCTTTGTCATTGGAACATTTAAGTGGCAGCATCTAGTTGAAGACTGGGGGTCCTTGGGGACAGCATCTCACTGCCTTCTATCCGCCCCCTCTGGGCTACTCTGAGGTGAGCAGCTTTGTCCTCCTCTGTGTCTCTGGTCCAGCAGGAGCCAGCCGACCACGGACTGAAACCTTTCCTACTTGCAATGGTGAATCTTCTTTGCCAACTTGACTGGCTTTGTAATCACCTAGGAGACACATCTCTGGGCATGGTTATGAGGGCGTTTCAGGAGAAGGAAGACCTGCCTTAAACCCCTACAGAGGGTAGCTCATCCCATGGATTGGGGACCCAGGCTGAATAGACGGGGAAAGGAGGCAGGCAGGCAGGTGAGCACCGCAGCTTGTCCTCTGCCTCCTGACTGGACGCCCTGTGCCGCCATCGCCTTCCCTGCCCTGCCCAGTGGACCAAATCCCCTCAAACTACGAAGCCAAAGTAAACCCTTCCTTCCCCTGTGGCTTCTGGCCAGGTGTTTGACCACAGTGATGAGAAAGAAAACAGGCTCTTCAGTTGTTTCTCTCTGGCACAGGCACAGTGGCTACAGACTGACTAATCCTCCCCTGACAGGCCAGCAGTACCTGATGAGGAAGCATAGCCTTCACAGATGTCATGAGTTGAGATGAGGCCACTCTGGAGAAAGGCAGACAGTAGATCCAATTGGATCCAATGTGACTGTCCAGGAGGAGAGAAACAGGAAGAACTCTAAGAAAGCCTTGACAGTGAGCACACCTGGGAGTGGCTCAGCAGAGAGGAGGGATGGGAGCTCTGCCAGCAGAGGAAGGGGAGGCAGGAAGGATCCTCACCTAGAGCCTTTGGGGTGCACAGCCTTGCAGACACCTGGTGACCCTATCATGCCTATTGACACATGTACAGTAACACCACCAAGTTTTATCATACCTCCTGATGTCCTAATACAGTAGGCTCTGAAGCTCTGGGTCCAAATGGAAGAGGGCCAGAGCCCTGTATTACCGTATACGGACCTCTCCTGCCATCTTGAAGCAGAGGCAGGGCAGGGCCCACACCTCTGAACAGAAGCCTGTACCTCACGGGTGTGTCAGGGACCTGCTTCAGAGCCATCCCAGAGAACTCGAACAGAAGGCAGACAGGCTCATCCAGGTTTCAGCTCTTTCTCTGGCTGGGAGGGGCACAAGAAGAGGTGGCCAGTCTGCCTGGACCTCCCCAGGAAACAAAATTCCCTGGGTCATTTAAAGAAAGGCGCTTGGGGGGGCGGGCTCCCTAGAAGACCTAGCCAGAGCCTAGAAAACCCGTGGGATGTAGTACAGACTGCAGTCCAGGGAAGCTATTCAGATCAGTAGCTGGATGCAAGGCTGGGGAAGCTGGGGTGCCTTGGCAGAACCCCAAAGCTGAGCTAGCAGGAAGCACACACCCAGCCTCGCACCCTATTTCTCCCGCCAGAGCCTCCTGGTCAAACAACACTTGCCTCTTCAAGTGGGGCTCGGGAGTAGGGGCAGCCGGGCAGCCCGCAAGTCTCAGGCCAAGGAGGCGGCGATTCAGAGGCGTGACCAGGGATTCCAGGGACTGACCCCCAGGGAAGCCAGCCGGCCACGGGCACAGGGGAGCTGCGCGGAGAGGATGCTTGCTGTGCTCTCCACTCCCACGGTGAACAAGGGCTGGTCTTCGGTGTGCAAAGAGGAGCCACAGCACTCAGGAGAGTGAAGCTACCCGGAGGCAAGGCCGGGTGTCCGCCAGGACCGCCATGTCCGCCAGGACCGGGTGCCGGCCTCCCTCCTTGACCCGGAGGCAAGGCCGGGTGCCCGCCAGGACCGCCATGTCCGCCAGGACCGCCATGTCCGCCAGGACCGGGTGCCGGCCTCCCTCCTTCCCTCCTTCCCTCCTTCCCTCCTTCCCTCCTTCCCTCCTTCCCTCCTTCCCTCCTTCCCTCCTTCCCTCCTTCCCTCCTTCCCTCCTTCCCTCCTTCCCTCCTTCCCTCCTTCCCTCCTTCCCTCCTTCCCTCCTTCCCTCCTTCCCTCCTTCCCTCCTTCCCTCCTTCCCTCCTTCCCTCCTTCCCTCCCTCCCTCCTTCCCTCCTTCCCTCCTTCCCGTGATGCTCTAGCTCAGGGCTGCTCACGCTCTTTCTACTTGCAACCCCTTTCTTTCTTTTTCTTCTTTCTGGTTCTTTTTTTTTTTGTCCTTTTGAGACAGGGTCTCCCTGTAGCCTCAGCTGGCCTGGAACTCAGGGCGATCCGCCTGTTTCTGCCGCCTGCGCCACCGCGCCTGGAAACACCTGAGAAACTTTTACCCAGGTAGAGAGTGTATAAAATAGGCTTAAAGAGCAAACATTTACTCATAATAAATCATAAATTTATTTGAAGACAATTCTTGGTGTACATCTAATTTTACCATTTCTTAATGACAAAAGCAAATTTTCATGCTAACAAGATGGATGTGTTTATTTTTACACAGAAAATTTAATACTGGCTGAACATTTGCTATTTTAGGATGTAGAACATATTTGATGTTTTTCAAAGTTTTTTTTTTTTTTTTGCTTGTTTATGTGTGGTACGCATGTGCTTATGTGTGTGGCCACGTGTGTGATTGAGGATGCACATGTAAGGATTCACATGTAACTGTGCACATGCATGTGGAGGCGTTGGTGGTGGGTGTGATGGTAATCTTGGTTGTCAACTTGACACATCGGGGAAGAGGGCACCTCAACCGAGGAATTCCTTCCATCAGACTGAACTGTGGCCTTCTTGACTGTTAACTGACGTAGGAGGGCCCAATGTGGGCAGTACCATCCCTAGGCAGCTGGGCGTGGGCTGTGTAGTTGAGCAAGCCAGAGGGGGGGCAGGCGTTCCTTCATGGCACCGCTTCAGCGCCTGTTCCCAGGTTTCTGCTTTGGCGTCCCTTGATGATGGACTGTGACCTGTAAGACAAGTAAACCCTTTCCTCCCGTTACTGTTTATCACAGCAACAGAGAATCAGGACACTGGGCTTCTTCCTCAGTCTCTTTCCAGCTTGTATATATGGAGTTAGGGTCTGTCACTTGAGCCCACTTTAGGTGGTCTAGTTAGCTAGCCTGCTCCAGTGTTCCCTGCTTTCTACTCCCAAGCACTAGGATTATAGGCAGACTACCATGTTCATTTGGTCTCTCTCTCTCCTCTCTCTCTCCTCTCTTTCACTCTCTCTCTCTCTCTCTCTCTCTCTCTCTCTCTATATATATATATATATATATATATGCCACATATATACACTCACCACATATATACCACATATAGAGCTCACAGAAATGCACCATACACATGTGGGTCCTGGGAACCTGAACGAGGCCCTCATGCTTGCACAGAGGTACTTCACCACTGAGCACCTCCCCAGCCTCTGGTCAGTACTGATCTTACAGTCGCCAGTGCAGACACTGCTGTTTTACATAGCACAAAGTGGCAGGGCTGTGTCAAGGTCCACTTTAGAAACTGTTGGAAATTCTGCCCTCATCCCAGTGTTCATTGAATGACTTTATAAAACTCCAGTCAGCAGCTCAAACAGAAATTCTTAAAATCAAACAATCCAAAGAAATACGACTTTGATAATTACAATGATGGTAAGAAAATATTAGTCTTTGTTCTCTACAAACTGTAAGAGCAAAACGTCTGTATGTGTAATGAAAACATTGCAGTCCATAATGTACCACAGTCTTGGGGTTTCAGGCGGCATTCACTGGCACTGTGTGGTATGGCAGCATGTGCAACAAAGGACCATTGGCTCACCTTCCTGCCGCCACCCGGCTGCCGACAGGATGCCCCACCTATCTCCATTCTCCCCTCACCTCTGCCATCCCCAGCCTGGCCTGCTTTTGCCCAGGTTGAACATAATCTTGCACCATAGGGTACAGATGCTTCTAGAAGACACCCAGCTGTGCTAACACTCAGCAAATGGGCTACTTTGGTCCCCCTCCTTGACCAGACAATATTGTGCCTGCAGGGACATGTGAATGTTGTGGGCCACACTGGAACCACAACCACAGTCCAGCCCTGGACTGGTGCTGTGTGGACAGCAGAGCCTGCCGGCCACTTGTGGGCTCTGCTGTTTTTACAACCCCACAGTTGCCAGGACTCTAAGGGCTTGGGAAGTAACTATGGAAAGGCAGGTTCACTGTTTATCTGGGGGCAAAGTACCTTAAACATGACCTTGAGCCCATGCAGTGATTAGCGCACACGCTCGCTAGAGGGGGAGACAGAGACAGAGAAAAACCATCGCAGGAGCGTGTGCCCAGCTCCATGAAGGCCTTCTGAGTCCTGGGTCCGTGCCATTGCTCTGTGTGAGCTTGGGAAACCCCCACATCCATGGGCGCCCGCAGGGACAACAAGAGATGGGGATGTCAGAGTGCATCTTGCTCCTTATTCGTTCAGGCATTACCTGAATGGCACACACACCTGTTCCCTCACTACAGCCCAGCATGGGCAGCACCTGAGCACAGCAAGCCTGAGGAAGGGGCACCAGCTAAACTTCCATCAACAGAGGCAGATTAGCAAGAGAGGCTTGGGGACATCACCCCCTCCCCCAGCTTAAAGCCAAACTCCCCGGTGTGACACCCAGGCCTTGACGTGGCTTGTTGCCCCAGCTCCATCTCCTCCCTCAGGAGTCCTCAGAGCCCCACACAGGAGGCCCTCACAAGAGCCCCGAACAGTGAAGTTGCCTTCTGCCTGGAGGGGCTTTCCTGGCTCCACCCCAGCCCCTATGACCACACACTGGAGCTGAAGAATATTACATGAGGCTCTCTACCCGCCCCGCCCCCCCCCCCCCCCCCCGGGGCTTGGCTAAGCTGCCCAGGCTGGCTTTGAACTTGTCATTTTTCAGGCTCTGGAGTGGGATGGCAGGCCTTGGTCACCAGCCCTGGCTCTGCATCTCAATGTACAATACTGTCTTCATGCCTGCATTAGGTAGACACACCCACCCCAGGAAGCCTGACCTTGGTGGCAAAGGGACACTAGATGTGATTATGTCAAAGCCCTTGATTTCCCTGGTCCTTCGATCCACTCACTGAGGTTGCTGGAGAAGCCACATCCTGGGCAGTTTACAAACACACATGGGAGGCTGGGCATGTTGAGACACACCCTTAATCCCAGCACTCTGGAGGCAGAGGCAGGAGGGTCTCTGTGAGTTCCAGGCTAATGTGGTATACACAGACATAACAAGTTCCAGGCCAGCCTGGGTTACATGGTGAGACCCTGTTTCAAAAACAAACAAGCAAGTAATAAAAACAAAACAACAACAAAATACCCATTGAATTCTCACAGTTATGGGAGCTGGATGTCTGAGACCTGGTGTCCGAGGCCACGTCCTGGTTCAGTGAGGCTGTCCCCTCATGCCTCTTCACTTGGTGGAAAGTCTCATCACACAGACACTGCTGCTGTCTGTGAGGTCTTCACCCTACCACCCTTGTCACTTCCTGAGGACCTCACCTCCTGACACCATCATGTTGGGAATGAGAATCTACCTCAGCTGTGGATTGAGGGGACATACACATGCAGAGCCATGGCACCCAGATTATGTAGGTGGCTCTGATGTAGCCAAGGGTCCTTGGACGTGAGAGGGTAGCAGGAGAGAGGGGATCAGAGGAGGGGCTAAGGCAGAAGGAACAGGTCCTACCAGGAGGCCAGCCCCCTGAGGTGCTTCGAGCTGCTGTGCTTGTGCTAATTTGTCACAGGAGTTCCATCTCTCCCAGAAGTGTGAGCTCCTGCAGGGCTTATGTAGACATTGGGTGACCTGTGCTCCGAACTGAGCACCTCCTGTACAGCAGGCTGGGGAGGGTTTGTCCAGTGGTATGTCTGAAGCAGGGAGGGAGGGAAGTGTGGGAGGGAGGAGGAGAAAGTGGAGGAGGGGGCAGAGCAGTGTGAAGGGGAGAGGGGGAGGGAGGGGAATATGGGAGAGGAGAAGGGGAAGAGAGGGAGGAGGAAGAGGAGGAGGAAGAGGAGAGGCTGGGGAGGTTACAGAGGGGAGGAGGAGGAAGAGGTGGTAATGAGAAAGGGAACGTGCTGTGGGGTGGGGAGGGGGTCAGGAGAGGGAGGAGAGTTGCTGGGGAGGTGGGGGTTGGCCAAAGTGAACCCTGCCTGTGCGACTTTGGCACGAATTTTAGGCATGTGCTTAGGGAGATCAAGGAACAGAAACCTCAGCCTCTTAGACACTGGCCAGGGGGAGGGCAGAAAGCACCTCCAGTGGATCTGAGGGCACAGAAGCCCCCAGGCCTCTGTCCACACCCCCTTTCTGCTGTAGCCCTCCACCAACTGAACAACTCACTCCCCATTCTGGAGGGGTGGCACCTGTGCTCCCCCTGTGGCTGGGGGCCTTCCCTGCCCCTCCTCACCCCCAGGCTGGCACTGCTTGACCTCTGGTCCCTCTTCTTTTTAAAGGTACTCTTACTGGATCAAGGCCCATCCTGCTCCAGGATGAACCCATCTTAACTCATGGTGTCTGAAAATACCCTATTTCCAAACAAGGCCACTTCTTGAGGGTCCACAGAGGACACGGTTTGGGGAACCCAACCAGCACCCCACCTGCCATCCCTAGTGCCTACTTCACCCTGCCACACCGTCCACATTCAGTTTCCAGATCTGCCAGCCTTTGTTGGCCACATTGACCTACATGAGCCTGAGTCACCCAGACCTGCTGTCCCGGGTGATGTGCTGGCCCGCCCGGCCACTTGATCCTCAAGCCACTCTGGACTTTGTCATAGCTGCAGTAACCTTCCTCTGAAGCACTTGCCCTGCTCCCCCTGCCCCACCTAGCCAGGCTCTTCTCCAGCTACCCACCTAGGACCACAGGGTCATTTAACACTGCTGTTCTCCAGGGGCAGCTGTACCAGGCCCAGCAGCAGCACAGCAAAAACAGCCTCTCCCGCCAGCCTGTGCTAAAGTTCCACGTCACCAAACTGAAACTAAGCAGTTAGATGACTTCCAAGAAATCAGGAGGCAACAGCCAAGTTCCCCAAACAGGTCTTTCCATAAGTCCCCTGGTCTTAATTCTTACAGTCTTAACCAAGCAGTCAGATGTGAAGCCCCTGGCCTACCTCTGCTCCGTCAGCCCACCTGTCAGAAGAGCCAGCCTCCTCGGTTTGGCCACCAGCACAGCACTTATCCACTGGATTGAAATGTTGCTGGATTCTAGAATCAAAAATGAAACAAGTCTGCTAAAGTCTAATTCTGTTCTTTGCAGTGGGTTAAGATCCCTGCAATCTTGGGGGGCTCCTGCCCAGCATCCACATGGGGTTATCTTTCCATCTACAGGGCTGAAGCTGAAGCATAAACCCACCTTCACCTGTCCTTTCCTGCATCCCTGGTCCTACTGTGCTGCCAACTCCGATGCCCCTTTGCTAAGTTGGAGGGTGATGTAAACAGAAATTCACGCCTGCCTTGCACTCCAGTGACATCACCATCACAAACCCCACCAAGCGCTCAACCCCCAGATCTGCTCCCCCTGTGCACCACCCGTGCCTTCCTCCCCGTGTCTGACGTGTCCTGGGCAGATGTGAACAATGTTTGCTCCCCCCAGATAGGGCACGGATGATGGATCAAAGAAACCACTCCATCCATGTCCAGCTTAGGGAACTAGGGACTCTGTCTACTGGGGTTACTGACAGGAGTGTGGGGGACTCAAAGGCATCATCAAAAAGCCCATCCAGGGCTGGCGAGACGGCTTAGTGGGGAAGTGTGTTTTCTATTAAAACTGATGACCTAGGCTCCATCCCTGAGACCCACATGGTAGGAGAGAACCCACTCCTGAGAGCTGTCCTCTGACCTCTGCATTCACATACTATGAACACACACACACACACACACACACACTAAATAAATGTAAAAGATATTTTTTAAAAAGTCACATTTTATGCATAGAAAAAAAAATACCTGGAAATACATACTTCAAAATGCCAACAGCAGTTATCTTTAGCAGGGACTAGCTCTGTGTGTGTGTGTGTGTGTGTGTGTGTGAGCACGCACACACAGGTGGGTTTGTGTGGTCAATCTCAGAAGTCTTCCTCAGTTACTGTCCATGTTACTTTGGGGGACAGGGTTTCTCTCTGAACCCAGCTCACTGATTTGGCTAGCCTGTCTGGCCAGCAAGCCCAGGATCCCCCGTCTCTGCCTTCCGAGTGCTGGGATTACAGGTGAGTGCTACTGCACTTGACTTTATGTGGACTCTGGGGAATCAGTGCACACCTTACCAACTCACCCTTCCCCTCAGCCCTAGAAATGATTTTTTAAGTATTTTTTTTTCTCTTGGACTGGAGAGGTGTCTCAGTAGCTAAGAGCAATGGCTGCTCTTGCAGAGGACTCAGGTTCAGTTCCCAGCACCCACATGCTGGCTAACAACCATCTGTAACTTCAGTTCCAGGGGATCCAGCACCCTCTTCTGACCGTTGAGAGCATTGCACAACATAGGTGCACTTATATGCAGGCAATACACTCATACACAAAGTTTTTAAAAAAATATTTTTTCGCAATAGTTTACAGTGAACATGAGATGCTTTTTATTAAAATAACCAATATATTTAGCCACCTACTCTAAGAATACGTGCTATAAGTGATTATTGATATCACAGAAAGAATGACAGGAAAAAAGGGGTGGTGGTGGTGGCTCGCTCTGGCTCCTTGAGCCATGACTGTTCTGCTGTTCTGTGCACAGTGGTGGAGGCAGGGTGCTTGGTCTCACCTGTGTGCTCCCCAGGGACTCAGGGATCACAAGGTGGTAAGCTCAGCAGCATCTGGAAACTCGTGCAGTCAGCACACTGGTAAAGACTAGCAGAAAGCAGAAGAACCCAAGGGCTCCATCGCACTCGTCTCCCTAAAGACTCACTCCAGCCTCCCGCCTGGAGAAGGGCCTGATCTTCTGTATCCAGCATAAACCAGCAGGCCTCAGACTATTTGAATATGGTTTCTGATAGCCAGGCTGCATCTCTGGGAGCCTCAGTTCAAACTCTTCCCTGCCAGGACCCTATACAGTCTTCAATCACCAAACACAATGGTGAACTCTACCCATGGAAGCCCACAGCAGCCCCCAGGGGACCCCACAGAACCAGACCACAGGGCATCCTTTATATCCTCAGGGAAATTTGGTCTGAGTACCAGAACAGTCACACAAGTTCTGCAGCCCCAGGAGACCCCATGGATTAGGACCATGGCTTGCTTTATGCCAGTGCTGATGGGGAGACGAGAGCAGGAGAGGGTAGGCTGTATTAGCACTGGCTTGGTAAGTCAACAATCCTCTGGTATTCTAGCTACTTTTTCTGTTGCTGTGATAAAACACTAACCAGAACCAACTTGGGGAGGAAAGGGTTGATGTCATCTTCTAAGTTACACAGTCCATCGTCAACGGAAATCAAGGCGGAAACTTTACGGAGGAACCCGGAGGCAGAGACCATGGAGGAAGCTGCTTACTGGCTTACTCACCAAAATTTTCTTAGATGGTCCAGGCCCACCTGCCTAGGAATGGCACCACCCATAGTGGGCCATTCTACACCAATCAGCAATCAAGAAAATGGCCCACAGGCCAATCTGATGGAGGTAATTCCTCAGCTGGCTGCCCCTCGTCCTAGGTTTGTGTCAAGTTTATAAAAACTGACTATCCAGGTTGGAGAGAGGGCTCAGCAGTTAAGTGCACTGACTGCCCTTGCAGAGGACCCGGGTTCAATTCCCAGCACCCACATGGCGGCTACGAACTGTCCTTAACTCCAGTTCCAGGGGAATCCGAAGCCCTCTTCTGACCTCTGTGGCATTGCACGACATGGGTGCACTCACATACATACATGCAGGCAATACACTCATACACATAAAATAAAAACAATAAAGAAAATATTAAAAAAGAAAAATGTATTTAATGACCTCTGCGGCACTGCACAACACGGGTGCACTCACATACATGCAGGCAATACACTCATAAAAATAAAAAAATAAAATATTTAAAAAAATAAAAACTAACTAGCACAGCCTGCACACAGCAGTTGGCTAAAAAATATCAATAGCACCTTTCCACATGGGAGGTAAGCAACACAGAAATCCATAACATTATTAGAAGCCATGTGTTATTATAAGGTCAATCACAAGGAAAGAATCCATCGGGCAAGATCAGACAGACTGGCCTGTGGAGAAGGGGCCCAGATACACCTCAGGACCCACAAGACAGATGCCTGGTCCTAGGAAGTGGCTGCCTTCAGTAGACATTCTGTGCACACTGGTGTTTCACTATCAAATCAGTGACACGTGGCCTCGTTACAGTGCGCTGGGGATATTTACACAGGTGCTGTTTTCTCAAATCTACTATAGGACCCGCAGCTGATCGACAGGAAGCATCTGGCACATCCTTTCCCAGAGACCTTTAACAACTAGCTATTGCCAGCCATTGAGCAGCCCCGGTTTTTGCTGTTGAAAACACCCCCAATGTTATTCTGAGAGTGTGTACAGTACCAATGCCCCTCTACTCATTGTGCATAACCTTCTTGGATAGAGTGCCAGGACGCCCACCACCCAAATTGCAACATTCCTAGAAGTCAAAACTGCTTTTAGCTGGGCATGGTGGCACATGCCTTTAATCCCAGCACTCAGGAGGCACAGGCAGAGGCAGGCAGATCTCTGGGATGGAATCCAGCCTGGTCTGCCTAGAGAGTTCCAGGCCAGCTGGGGCTACAGGGAAACCCTGTCTCCAAAAGTAAAAATAAAATATTAAAAACACCTGCCTTGAGCCCTTGGGAACAACGCAGAGCCTGGCCAACAGGGCTTAGAGGGGAGTGGACAGCATATGAAAGTCCCAACCTAAGGGAGGGGAGAAGGCAGCCTGGCCATCCTGCATGCTGTGTCATGCTCAGAAAGTGGCGATCTCCTCCCCCCAAGAACTTGGAGAGCTTAGGAAAGTAACTTTAAACAATCTTTTGGGGGCTGGAATGAGGGCTCAGAGGTTAAGAGCACTGACTGCTTTTGCAGAGGACCCGGGTTCGAGTCTCAGCACCCACATGGAGGCCTACGAACCGTCCTTAACTCCATCCAGTTCCAGAGGAATCCGAAGCCCTCTTCTGACCTCTGCGACACTGCACGACAGGGGTGCACTCACATACACGCAGGCAATACACTCATACACATAAAATGCAAATAATAAAATATTTTTTAAAAAACAATCTTTTGGCACAGAACCACACACCCAAACCAGGGAGGCCACAAAGTGCCATCTCAGGCGGGCTCATGAGCCCTGTGACCTTAAGCCTCTAGGGTCTTGGCCAGGAGCCCTGCAGGCAGCCCAGGGCCACTCGGTCTGCTTCAAGAACACCTTCCATCGATAGGCTTTGTTCCACAGGAGGAGGGCGTGGAGGACCGTGTCTGGTCCTCCCCACGGGATGTCAGTCATCACACACGACAGCGCACCTGCTGCTCCGCCCTCGAGCTCGGGGGTCCTAAGAGCCCTGCATGGCTGGCGCTGCCACCCTGCGCAAAGACCCCGGGAGCGGGCAGGACCCACGCCCGCGGGGCCTTTCCTGGGGACCCTGGGGCCACGCAAGGTCTCGGGAACCCGGACAGGTGACGGCCCCGCGTACCCGGAGCCTGCACGCGCCCTGGGGTCGACGGGACCCGGGAGGTCGGGGGACGGCGGACAACCCCCTAATGCTGCGCGCGCCCGCCTCGAGCGCGCGTGCCGGGCGCCGGCCCCGCGGTGGCGTGTGCACACGTCATATGGGTCGCCTGCCTTCCATTGGCTCCGGCCGCCTCACCAGACCGGCTGCGGACGGGCGCGCGTGCAGGGCGGGGTCGGGGGGAGCCACGCCCCGGGGCGGTGCGCGCGGGCGGCGGGTAGGCCGGGCCGCGTCACGTGGTGCCCAGCCCCGGCCCGCCTTATAAGCCGCGCGCCCGCCCCGGGCTGCGGCCGCTCTTGGGCCGACCGGGCGCGCCTCCCTCGGCCTGTCCACGCCGCCTGCGCTCCAGGAGGCCCTCGGCAGCTACCGCGTGGGGCGCGCGGGGCTGCGGCTACGGCTTTGCGCTCCGTGGCCTGCGCGCACCGATGCCCAGGCTGCACGACCACCTCTGGAGCTGCGCCGGCGCCCCGACGCACCTGAGCCCCCCGCGAGCCCGGGCCGCCGAGGTGGAAGGCATGATCGCCGCGGCCCGGCGCCTGCAGACCCCCGCGGCCCCCGACCCCGCGCTCCGCGGCCCCCGAGGGGGTGCAGCGGGGTGCGGCGCGCGCCCCGGCAGCTGGCATCACCACCTGGTGCAGCGGAGCCTGGTGCTCTTCTCCGTCGGCGTGGTCCTGGCCCTGGTGCTCAACCTGCTGCAGATCCAGCGGAATGTCACCCTCTTCCCGGATGAGGTGATCGCTACCATCTTCTCCTCCGCCTGGTGGGTGCCCCCTTGCTGTGGCACGGCAGCTGGTGAGTGCCCCTTCCTAGTTCGGGGACGCGTCTGCTAGGCACTCAGTCCTCAGCCTGCGAGGAACGTTTGTTGGAGAACGGAGCCACCCCGGGGGTGGCATCTGGGGGAATGACTGGGGGCCGGAGAGGGTCGGGAGCCCCAGATGCTGGCGGGGTGACAGGCGGAAGTTGGAGGAACTAGTGATGGAGATGAGGTCCGGAGATAATTGGCCGTTTACGCGGAGGAGTCTCAGCCCTCTAGCGCCCAGCGACCGAGTAGCAGCTGTCGTGCAGCGCCTATGCTGGGGATTGGCCGCCTGGAGAACTGGTGAGGGCTACGCCACGCGGCTATTGGCTGCCCGAGCAAACATGCTACCCCGCTGGATAACCGAAAACAAACCATCACGTGCGCGCAGGAGGCGGTTGCCTGGGGACCGACTTCTTCCTTCTGCTGATAGCCAAGTGAACTGTGGCTGGCAGCCAGGCATTCTGGAGCTCGGTGGCCTGGTAGACTTGGGACCGGAGGAAGGGAGGAGCCCCTGTTGAAAGGTTGGGTTTTAGCACCTCTCAGGCTCAGCCAAACTTGGGAGAGGGGGACAGTTATTTTTAGTAGGATTTGGTGATCATTTAGCCGGGCTTAGAGAAATGTTGCACAGACAGCTCAGCAGATCCATGAATGTTTGGCATTGCGAGCATCTGTTCCCAGGGCGCTTATTGGGCAGGCACTCTATGCCACCAGGGCCAGTCGCTGTAAGGGCAGGTTTCCTCCAGAGTCAGGTGGGACCCCCCCCCTCCCGCCCAGCTGTGCCGTCAGGACAGCTGGCAGCCTGCTTTGAAGCCAGCTTTTGTTGACTGCCTGCCTGTGCCGGGCCTCGCTGCTCCTTTGGGTGCCGTAGCTGAGTCACATTGAGTGTGATGTGCAAGGTGCTAGCTTCCCCAGTTAGCCTCTGGTATTGGTTCTCAAGGCTGCCTTCCAGCCCAGGCAGTGTTAGGGGTGTAGATCCTTGTGCCACCCAGGACGCCGCAGTTGTGCGGAGAGTTTTTATCTCTATTCTCTAAACACTTTACCCATTATGGCTGTACTGACTGAAAATTCTTGCTTACTTTGGTCCAGGGATGGCCTCCTGCAGGCTAAGCAAACGCTCTGCTACTGAGCGCCACCCTTACCACCCCCCACCCCCGCACTTGATGGGGTCTTTTTTAGGAAGATGTTGTAGATTTGAAATTCAAATTCCATTTCTCATATACATGGAACACAGTACTTTAGTCCTTTGAACTTGAAACTTGATCTTTAATTTAAGTGGAATATTCGTCCTGAAAGCATCAAGGAATTCCCGGGATGTCTAACGTGGTGCCTTTATCTGGATGCTTGGCTCGCTTGGCCTGCACCTGCAGCTCCTCACTGGAGTTGGAATGGCTGCTTTCACCACAGGCAAGGTGGAATGATGGCCTGGCTCTGAGGTCTTAAACTTGGATGCAGTTTACATGTGCACCTTGTGTCCTACAGAGCCTTGCCCACTGCACTGCGGGCAGCAGGTCGGTGCCAGCCTTGGGCCTGTTTTCATCACCTCACTCTAATTTAGAATATCCAACTTGCCACTGTCCACAAGTTTAGAGGAGTCTGAGCCAGTAAAGACGGACCACAGGAGCTCTTCCCCCTCCACCCTGCACTTTACTTATATAACCCTCATTTCACACCTGAGAAGACAGGAGGAGGCACAGCCTGTGACTGGCAGCAAAGCATTCCCTTCCTGGGCCCCTACCCCTTCCACCGTATGAGACTTGGCCCCGCTGGGACCAGGTCAAGACCAAGTGAAACCAGTGTGTGGTGGCCTTGCCACCTTTATCCACAGGCTGTCCACAGTAGCAGCTGGTGTCTCCTGAGTGCTGGAGCCCCTTAAAGATCAAGTCCAGTGATCCTCAGTGGAGTCAGCAGAAAGGAGAGCATCCCATCATGGGCCTCGCGGCCTGTGCTGGGGGCCACAGGTGTTCGTGAATGCTCACCTTTGAAATGGGAATTCTACCTGATGAAGTAGAGTGAGCTGTTAGCCATTTCAGTTTTGTATTGAGGCAAAGGTGGATACATTATAAATTAATTATTAATATGGACTATTGAACTCTTCATTGATTTATTAGTGTTTACTGAAACATTTACTCACAAAATAACTAATTTTTGTTGTTTAGAGACAGGGTCTTGTTATGTAGCACTGGCTGGCCTGGAACTTGCTGTATAGATCAAGCTAGCCTCAAATTCATAGAAATCCACCTGCCTCTGCCTCCTGAGTCCTGGGATTAAAGGCTGATTTTTAAAAAAGAAACTTCACTGGGCATGGTGCACATGACTTTAATCCCAGCAAAGGCAGGTGAGATACGAGCCAGCCTGGTTGACATATGGAGCTCCAGGCCAGCTGTAGCTACAGAGAGATCCTGTCTCCAAAGTAAATAAACAAATAATAAATTAATTAATTAAATAAAAAGAAAAAGAAACTTCAAAACAGTATAATTTAGGCTTAAAGAATACTGGTTGGAATTCTGTTAATAATGACTACACAATGACTGATTTTAGCCAGCATGATCTAATCCTGTTTTTTTCTTCTTTAAACAGCTGTTGTTGGCTTACTGTACCCCTGTATTGACAGTCACCTGGGAGAACCCCACAAGTTCAAGAGAGAGTGGGCCAGTGTCATGCGCTGTATCGCAGTGTTTGTCGGCATCAACCATGCCAGTGCTGTATCCTCAGCTGGTGTGCTGTGTCCACGTGCTATGTGGGCTGTGCCAGAGTGTCAGTACTCAGGGAGCACTCACTGTCCTTTACCTCATCCAGTGTGACAGGCTGCAGGCAGCGGGATCTCCGAGGTTTGGTTCCTAGGGGCTTTTGACTCATTTTAGGACACAGTTGTGATCACCCCAGGGGCAGAGTGGGTTTGGTGTTGCCTTCCTGGAGTATCCGGTTCTTGGAGTGGATTTTATAAATTCACCTTTATCAGCTCTCCCTGTGGCCTTCTATCCCGGTGACATGGCCACTCCGGCCAGGAAATCGCAGCTGTCACCTCTTGCCCGCAGTCCAAGTCCAGTCACGGAGGCCCCTGAGCTTCTCGCCTCTGTGGATGCACTCATCCACCTGGTGCACTGTGTTTTTATGTATTGTATTTCCTGTGAAAATGGTCCATTTACCAGCATACCCTTCAAATATTTAGTTTCTAGAACAACTCGGGGGAAAAGGTATTTTCCAAGTTGTGCATCCACTTACAGGGTCCTTTCCCTTCTTAAGCATGTAAGCCAGCTCTGAGAGAAGTTTCACTGCCACACGTTAACAGTGTTGTAACAGAGTGTGACTTAACCTCGCTTCTGCCATCCTGGCTGGGTCACCCAGTAAAAATGTGGAGGTAGTGTGTGTTTATTTCAAATTACTGAAAGGAGAAAGGGAAGTAGAGGCGGCTTCAGTGGGCTCCCACAGCTTTCAGGAAGTTTGCTCCCAGAGTCCCTTGGTAGTCTCACTGCTCATCACTACAGGTGACGAGTTATTTGTGATGATAAAACCTATGAGTACTTGTGTGATTGAATTTGTTTTTTCGTCTTATAAATTATGAAACTTTTCCTTAACTTTTACATCACCAGAAATTGGATTTTGCCAATAACGTTCAGCTGTCCTTGACTTTAGCGGCCCTGTCTTTGGGTCTGTGGTGGACATTTGATCGCTCTCGAAGCGGTCTTGGGCTTGGGATCACCATCGCCTTCCTAGCCACGCTGATCACCCAGTTCCTTGTGTATAATGGTGTCTATCAGTAAGTGTGTGTTTCCAGATGTTACTTGGCTTTTATAAGAGCACCACTAAATGCAGGTAGTTTGTGTTTTGTCTTTTTATGCAGAATGACTCAAAAAATTACAAAATGCTGCTTTTTCTCGACTCATATTACAAACACACCATCCGTAGCTTCATGTAGAGGAAGGTCCAGAACTTTCCAGCATTGGCATTTGGCACTGGCTTTCTGACTGACAGACGTCTCATGTACCTCCATCACAGAAAGTCTGGGGCCTGAGTTGCTGGGTAAATAGACTGCTGAGGTTCTCTGTTTCTTCTCTAGGTATACATCCCCAGATTTCCTCTATATTCGTTCCTGGCTCCCATGTATATTCTTCTCAGGAGGCGTCACAGTGGGGAACATAGGACGGCAGTTAGCTATGGTAAGTGCAGTGGCCACTGTCTGATCACTTCAGGTCTATAAACTTGACAGATACATTTTGTGTTGATGTTTGTCTCATTCATTCAGATTCAACAGCAACAGTTAATGAGGAAATTCTGTGTAAAATAAAAACAATATGTAGCTAGGTCTTTGTTAGGTTAAGATTTACAGATTTGTAATCAGATGTTCATGCTGGAGAGCACCTGGAGTTCCAAAGCAGGTATGTATTGCAGGTATGTCCACTAGTCAACTGCAGAGAAAATTCTGGAATGGCTGCAATAACTGGTTCGTAGGGTTTCCCTCAGGATCATGTACTTGTGGGTGCCGATGGTGCTGGGAACATATTCCTCAGCCGTGGACAGATCAGGGGACAGCATGGTCAGCACTTTACTGCCCGTCTGCAGGGCACAGGGAAGGGGCCTAGAGAATGCTGGGGCAGTGGAAGGGAACTGCCACATTTGGGCATTGCACCCACTCTTCCTGAAAGAGAAATACCGTGTCCCAAGATCCAGAGCCTACTGCAAGATAGACAGGAAAATGAATTCAAGGACCATTTTAGCAGCTCTTTTCAGTAGGAATTGCCATTTGAACACTTAGGTATAGATGCAGACATGTTATTTCAATATGGCTTTGACCCATGGCTTAAGTGAAAGGACGCTCACAGAACAGTGATGAAGAGATAAACTCTGGGCTTTGCTCCGAGCTCCCCTCAGTGCTCCACGCTCGATTTTCAGTCAGTCCTGTTTTTGCCCCAGCTGACACCCATTCATGGGAAGTTGAACTTGAAGACCACTTGGCTGTTTCACAAAAGTAGAAGTCATTTCTGAAGGACGGAACTCACAAAGTAGTCCATTGGTTTCTGAGTCTGAAGTGTCTTCTCCTGCCAACCAAAATTAATACACTGACAAAACTTCCCGTCTCCTGACAGAAACAGAAAGCTTTGCTTTCTTTGGTATTAAAAGCCGGACATGGTAGTGCATGCTTGTGATCCTAGCACTGAGAAGACTAAGGTGGCAGGCTCTCGAGTAAGGCTAGCCCAGGCTACTTCATAAGGCCTTGTCTCAAAACTTAACAAAACAAACCAAAGAAATCTGCCTCACATGGAAATGCGATGCTTTCTCCACACACCGCAGTTCCCCGCAGAGCCGACCATGTTAGTGATCAGTGGAAGTGAGCGAGCTGAGGCTGGTGCTTGAGATGTGTTTCAGCTCTTGGGGACGAATCATTCAGACTCTTATTAAAGAGTAAATTGGCCCTCGCAGGCTGACAAGTCTAAAAAGTGTTTGGAGCTATGACCTGGGGTTGACCTGTGGAATCCTTCACACTGTGGCTTCTGCGGCACCCACAAGGTCTACATACCTAGGAACAGTTAGAAGGGGACACTAAAAACCAAGCAAAGCTAGGTCTTGAAGACTGTCTCCCAGGGCCCTTGCCACCCTCCTGTGTGTGTTTGATGTTCAGTTCTTTCAAGCACTGTTGTTCTTGACTGTCGTTCCCGGGAACTTGAAAGGAGACGTGACTTCTTGCATGCCCTGTAATGCCAAAGTTGGCTTTGCTAGAGTTCAGTGTTCTGTGGTTTCTTGCATGTGCTATTTGTTTTCTCTACATGTCTTTGTTCTGTGAGTCTACAATGAAGCGTGTCATCAGCCTGTGTGTTTAGAGGGAGACATTTCTAGAACCTGCAGTTGTTGATGTTTGCATTCAAAGGCCTTCTCTCAAGGAGTAAGTTTTCGCAGTACAAACAGCAGCTGATTAAAGTGTGAGTGTCTGGCCTTGCCCCTGGGGTCCTGGCTGTGGAGCCAGCCTCTGCTGCTAGGTCCACTTGCACCTCGTCTGAACAGTCAGACCACTGGGGACAGCCTTGGCTCTGCCAGCAGAGCTGACACTGGCTGCTGTCCGTGAGGCCTTGTGTTGAACATGTCTGTTCAGATATGATACTGGAGCTCTCATAACTCAGGTGTGAGCTGTGATTAGCCTGGTTTTATAGAGAACTTGATGCTTAGGCAATTCAAACAGCTTATCCAAGTGGGTCGAGTTTGAACCTTGTTTCTCACACTATACTGCCCTTTACATACAGCACATGTCTGTCATCAGTCCTCCAAACAGGTATAAAATAATCTGTTGGTGTCCTGGGTGCAGTCTTACCACTTAGAACACATTGCATAGCCAGCCCTGGTGGAAGGTCAGGTGGCCGTGTTACAGTCTGTCTTGGCTCTTTTGTCTTACACTGGTATAGACCTGACTAGTCTCCTGAAGATCATACATTCTAAAATTTTGCTTTATAGTGCACTGGTACAGGTAATAAAATCTGATGACTTGATTTTCTTTCCAAGTGACGGTAATAGTATCATCCAGGCCTGGTGGCTCATGCGTTTAATCCCAGTACTCAGGAGACAGAGGCAGGTGGATCTCTATGAGTTCAAAGCCAGCCTAGTCTACATAACGAGCTCTAGATTAGCCAGGGCTACATGGTGAGAAAACAAAGCATGCCATTTGTTTTTTCTGTTTGGAGCCTTCCCTCTTGTTTGTGTGAAATGGGTCATAACACTTTGGAATTGTCAGAACGAAGGGGGAGTATGCTTTCTAGAAGGTCTTCAGTGGCTTCACACAGACGTTTCTCACCCGTCACTCATCTTCAGGGTCCTCATGTCAGGCACCACTGTCTCTAAGAACGGCTGCTTGGATGGGAGCTGCACAGCAGGCGCCCCAGGCTCTGGAGGCCATGGGAGGTGTTTACCTCCTGTGTGCTGCCAGTGCTGCGGCCTCTGTGGTCACTCCAGTCGTCAGCTCCACCAGCTAGACAGCATCCCACACGCAGTCAGCCCCGAGGGCCTGGCAGTGATTCACAGGGCTGGCATGGAGAGACACGATTCAAACCTGACTGCTCGGGTGACAGCGACTCCTGACAGGGCAGGTGGAGCAGAGGCCTCCTCCAGATAAACAGGCTGAATTAAAACAGGGCCCTGGATGAGCCAAGTCAGCTCTCAGGAGCACCTGTCTCACCTTGACGTGGGTGGTGCACTTTGATGGCGCTGTTTCCTTTGGGTGGTGGCTGAGTCAGGCCTGCACCATGGGTGTCTGAGTCGGCCATAAGAGGCCCGATGGAAGGGCTTTAGCAGCTCCACCCCCTCTGCCATGGGGCAGTGGGTAGAGCTGGTGGTGTACATCTGAGCCTGCCATCCTGGGCAAGATGAGGGCAGTCGGCTGCCTTTGGTGCTTCCTTCCCTGACAGTTAAATTTGTGCACTGACTTTGCTCGTCTGTCTTTACCTGCTCAGGGTGTTCCTGAAAAGCCGCACAGTGACTGAGCTTTGGCAAAGAGGAAGCAGGATGAGGAGATGCTGTGGTCCTGGGTGTGATGAAGACCGTCTTTTCCCTCAATGTTCTGTTTAGATTGGGCTGATGACAAGTGACTCCTGAAAGACATGTTCTCTTGGTCTAGAATAGCAACATGGAGACGAGCGACTTACCTTACACCTTGCCCACCCGTCCCCACGTCCGTCTGCACTGGAACATTCCATCCCAGGCTGTGTGTGGGAGTCGGTAGGGGAGGGGGGTGATTATAGAGTATTCAATTTCATTTACATCATTCAAAGCAGGTTGCCATATTTCAAAGCCTTGAACTCAAACTAAATTACCAACTGGCAGTTTTGTGTCGGTGCCCAAAAGAGATAGGTTGATGGTGCTTAACAAAGGTGACGTAGGGGAGAGTAAGATGTTTATCCAGAAGGTTAAAATACAGGGTTGTGTAAAAGCAGCAGCAGTGGAGAGAGGTCGCCCTGCCGTGGTCCCAGCTGAGGTATTATCCAGGTCACTTCCAGGCAGGTGCAGGAGTGTGGGTCTCACCAGTGAGGAAACTAAGCCTTTCACTGCTGGGCGGGTTTGTTGACAATCTTACTGAGAGCCGAAGGCAGTGGAAGGTCATAATGCTGTGCTGGAATTTTCACCTCAGTTTATCAAGTTTTATCCAAAATCTGTACCATCCACAAGCGAGTGCCTGTCTGCCGTGTTTCAGTCTTAGTGAGCCGAAATTGTTTGTTACTCCAGAGTAGAGAGGACTATTTTTTCCACAGCCCTATGGAACTTGCAATCCGTGATTGCCTTGTAAAAAGGAGAGCGTGTGTCACTGCGTTGGACATGCGGTGTCTCCGACACGCGATGTTGGCGGTGAGCACAGTGTATTCGTTTAATGGTATACACCGTCTTGGACCTAATTTGCAAGTATTGGGTCTTCAACTTCAAGTGCAATGTATCTGAAAACCAATCTGAGCCTTGTATTCTCTTAAATATTTATTTTTTTTAAACGCGTGAGCTGTTCCAGAGAAGGGTTCTGGGGTCATTTCAGAGCTGCGTGGAGGTGAGCTCAGCAATATTTCCTGTCAGTGTGACCTCTGCCACACCCCTCCACTGAGCCCTAGTGCTTTCACAGACTCCAGATTTGTGGATTTAGTCATTTTTACTTACAAATTTACCTTTTTTTTGTATTCTTCAATTTAAATGTTTTTGGTTTGTCTGGGTTGCGGTCCACTCGTGTGGTGATCCCCTTGCGGGCTTTGCTTGTTGCATTTTGAGGAAAGCGTCTTGAGTAAACCTTAGGTATCTGAAATTAGTTTTAGAGGAATTTTGTTTAAAAGAAAATGAATCATTTTCTGAACTTTGGAGTGATCCCTTACTCATTTTTCTGGACATGAAACAAATAATTAGTTCTGCCAAGACATTCTCCAGTGAAGAGGTCAGCACCCTGCAAAGAAAGGCAGACCAAGTGGATCTGAAATACTTGATCATACATGATTAGTATTTTTTTCTTTTAAACTGGAAGCAAAATCTGTTAGAAATAACGTAGCCAAAACTGTGAATCTGAAGTTTTTTTTGCCAATAGTTTATAACAGATATATTGAACCAAAGTGATTCACGTTTGTAAAAATGTAAACTAGTATGAACCAAATTTGCACTATCCCCTTCTGAACACCCAGCGAGGTTTGTGTCTAGGCTGAGTTCTCAGCACTGTCTTTTTGCATTCTTTTTTTACTTTTATTAAAGGTTCAAAACCAGTCATTGCATTTATGAGTTTTTCTTCTAAAAATAGCGTCACATTCTGTAGGGTGTTAGAATTTATGAGGGAAAAGTAGCTTTTTTTGCTCCTGAAGTTTTATGGAATTTTGACACAACTTTTGGGAAGTGTCATTTGAAGCTGGTTTCCATGTGGTGGGAGCAAAATGAAACCAGGCGGAACCTGCCACTGCCCCACCCACTGATGTCCTAAGACTGGCCGGTCTCACTGGGCCATTTCAAGCTGCTGTTGGCTTGTTCTTGGGCTATTACAGGTGGAGTGACTCATTTTCAGAAAACCAACCTCCTGTCTTCCCCCACTGAAGAAATGCCCTGCACACCCAGGGTGGCCCCACAGCCCCACCCTCCACATGTAACCCAGCTTTGCCCACCTTGAGTTCAGAAATGGCTTTTCAACACTGCTGGACAAAGATCTTGTTGGCTTTGTGTGGTTGGCCCAGTGTGTTGTGTCAGACCCACATAGGGGGTCTGACTTATTCAAGCATCCAAGATACTGCATTGAAGACAGCTGCTGTGGGCTGTGGTCAGGGTGGGGGTGTGCCTGTTCTCATTGAAATCCCAGTCTTGGGGAGGGTTCACAATGGCTCTGGCAGAATGAGCCCACTCTCAAGTTGTCTAAACTTGTGTCTTGGAAGCTAAAAGTTTCCCTGAACTTTACTGACCTTTGCACAAGCACTAACATTTCATAAAGCACTGATTCGCAGAAGAGTGCCACCTCACCTCCAGGTGGCTTGAGGAGGCTGGGGAGGAGCTTAGGACTGACTCCAGCAACTTCATTCAAGTTTCAACGTCCCCTGTGCCCTCACATTGGGGTGTGCCTGACAGATTTAAAGACTCAATTGGATATTACCCACAGCCTGGCACCACCCCCACCATTGGGAAAGTAAAAAAGCAAAGAACAGGGTTCACCTAAGCTCACCTGTACACACTTCCCGGAGTGCCAGTTCTTTCTGTAATAATGTAATTACACAGTTGATACAGCCTTGGGGGTAATATTACAAACCACGACAAAGACCACAATTTAGCCTCTACACTGTGCAGTGGGAAACTGGCCTGTTCCTTATTGGGCTACTGTCTTGCTTACTCTTGGAGTAAGGGGGGAGGCTCATAAACAGACCCAAGAGGTTTTGTAGTGGCCCCTAGACCGGTTCAGGGAAGATATGCAAAGAAAGATGAGAAACGGGTCCCTGAAATAGGTCTGATTCCCAGATGTTATTCTGGGTTTTCCCTGTAGGTGTTTGTCCTGGTTTGTTTCTTCATTGCTGTGACAAAACACTCTGACCACTACCAACTTGGGGAGGAAAGGGTTTATCTTACATATCCTGGGTCACAGTTCATCCGGGAGCCCAGGGTGGAACTCAGGGCAGGAACCTGGAGGCAGGAGCTGGAGCACAGGCCATGGAGGAACACTGCTTACTGGCTTGCTCCCCTGGCCCCTACTCAGCCTGCTTTCTTATGCAACACAGGCCCACCTGCCCAGGGGTGGCACCACCCACAGTGGGTGGGCCCTCCCACATCACTCATCAAGAAGATGCCCCTCAGACATGGCCACAGGCCAGTCCAATAGAGTCAATTCCCCAATTGAGGCTCCTTCAACCCAGGTTTGTCAAGTTGACACTAAAGCTATCCAGCACAGTGTCCTCGAGGTATACTTGAATTTCTTAACCTTCACTAAAACACAGGGTAGAGCCTAGGAGGGAGACAAACCTCCCCCAGGTCTCTGGAAGGAACAGCACCACCCACTGAGGACCAAGTGTTTAATAGGGGACATTTCTCATTAAAACCACCACAAGAAGGAAGACCTGGATGTGGGCAGTACCATCCCATGAGTTGGGGACTGGACTGAAAAGAGAAAGGAAGGAAACAGCTGAGCACCAGAATTCTCTCCTGTTCATTTATTCATTCCTTCATTGTGTGTGTGTGTGTACATGTGTACATATGTATGCCATAGTGCACATGTGGAGGTCAGAGTACAACTTGCAGGAGTTGGTTCTCTCCTTCCAAGGTCCCGTGGGTTGAACTCAGCTCATCTGGTTTGGCCATAGGAGCCTTTACCCACTGAGGCACCTGCTGCTTTGCTTCTGGTCCTGTTGAGCTGAGAGCTGCTTCCACTGCCTGCCTTCCCCACCGTGATGGAGCGCGCCTTCAAACTGTGAGTCAAGATAGACCCTCCCCTCCCTAAGTTGCTGCTGTCCAGCATTTTGTCAGCAATGAGAAGAGCAAAGGATCCAGCCATTTTCTTGCTCCTCTTGAGGCCTCAGACCACCGTTACACAGCAGTGACCAGTCGACCCACATTCCCAGCACACTGCAGCCCCATGAGGAGAAAGTTAGCACATGCTTATCCTGTGCTGGGACCCAGCCACCAGTCTGACTCCTGATCTACTCAGCACTGATTGAAGAGTTGAATGAATAAGTGTGCTCACTCCATCAGCCTGCAGCACATGGTCCTGAGTGCCGGTCACAGGGCAGAGGTGGCATGCTCTGTCCTGTTGTCCATTTACTGCCAGTAGCCAGCAGTCACTATCTGATCTTTGATG